CAAAAAAAAAAGGGTCCCCCCCCCCCCCCCCCCCCCCCCCCCCGTCACTGCACCATTGCACCAACCTCCCTGGAACGATGACGTGCCTTGTTGTGTTTTGCTGTTTTTGTGTTGTCTTATGTTGTCTTTGTTGTTTTGTTTGTTTGTTTGTTTATTTACCGCGGCGTTTTGACTCCGGCGTGCGTCTTTCTCTTTCCCTTTTCTCCCTCTGCTCTCTTCTTTCTTTGTTTTATTTTTCTTTCTTTTTTCCAATTTATGGCCTCGCATAGCGTGCAAAGGCGAGCGGAGTGTCTTAGACTGTCTGTCGTTGATTTCTGTTGACTTGCGAACCCTTCGGGTCCATTTTATTTTCGTATACTCCGAGTACATTTTTGGGGGGCAAATCAGCCTGTGACCACGGGAATCGACCGCGTGGAAAAATCGACTACATAGTACGGACAGAGGGAAGGTACTGGGTAGAGAGAACGGAAAGGTTACTAATGAAGACAACAACAACAACAACAACAACAACAACAACGCTTTTCTGGACACCGCACGAACCAACCCACACTCAGTGTCGATATCAAGCACGCAGCGGCACCACGAAGAGCATAGAAACAGCGAGGAGGGAGGTCACACACATACTACGCACACGCGCATAGTGGTGGCGAGCTACAGTAGTACCCACACCCAGGGATCCGTGCATGTTTCTAGATCATCTGCACGCCCGTCCTCCCGCCAGACCACTTCAAGTAACGTGATGATGATGATGCTCTGGCACCTCTGCATCTGTTTTTTATCTGCTTTCTTTTTCGCTCTCTTGACTCCATCTATCTGGAGTTCTGTGGAATGAACGCCCCAAAGCGTTCACCAACAAGCTGCTTGCCAGCATATCTGCACGGCGATTTCCTTGCTACGACGTCGACGCCACCTTTGCTCTCGTGTCAGATCCCCTCTCTTTTATTGATCCAGAGAGAGATGAAAGATTTTGAAAGCGTGCGGCCCGCAGATAGATGGGTTTCACACATGTATTAGCAAGCTTCTCCCGCGTCCAAAACCTCTGTCCCGGTACATGAAAAATATTAACAATATAATCATAAAAAAGAAAACGAACTTACAAGAAGTGTCCCCAATATATATCGTACAATGCTTTTTGTAATCGAAACGCAACCTGAAACCACAAAAGGGGCTTCAGAGCGCCTACGTCAATATACCCATGAACGCCTACAATAATCCGAGATCAGCTCAAGCTTTCCTCGAAAACGACCCACAGCACATACCACATGACACGGTCCGACCGATGCTTGAGCATGGTGGAGCTCACCCGACGAAAATTGGCGACGTACAACATGCACATACAGGACCCTGCCAAAGATGACCTTGGGCGCCAACATGAAAGGCTCACGTACCCAACACGCATCACCCGTTCACTCGATCACTCCAAACAGATATGAATTTGAATTTCTTACCGGGGCGTTTGGGATACTTTGCCGCTATCGCAGTGTTTAGGCGTTGCAGCAGCGGCGGCAGCAGCGAGAACATCCACCAACACAGCAGTGCGTCGACGGCGGCTAGCCGGTCGCCCCGGTGGTCTAGTTGGTATCCTCGAAACCTTCTAGAGGTCAGGTCAGGGGTTCGAATCCCGGCGTAAGCGAGCTTCTCTTGCAAAGTGAGTTTTTTCTCGCTTCCGCTCCTGGCCTAGTGGATAGCGCTAGTTCGTGTGTACACAGAGGGAAGAGAGTGCTGAACTCTTCTCGCATTAAAAATCGAAGGCAAAGCACCGCAGGAGGGGACGGTAGAGAGGGGCTCTTCTGTGTGACCACGGGTTGGACTAAACGGCACTAGTGCTGTGAGAGCTGATTTGAAGTCAAGACAAAAAAAAAATCAGACTCACTTCGTCGGTTTGGTGGCTCTGGAGCCCACGACGTCTGACCTAAACAACAATCGCTGGAAGCAAGGCGGCGTTGGCGCCAGGATGAACCCCCAGCTCGAACCGTTGCCCATGGTTGTCGGGTAGATATATTTCAATCAACACATGTTCCATTATATCCAACACGCAGTAGACCTATTCGTGCTGAAACCACTTCCTCGCAATTCTGAGCTGGGCACTTCCATGGAAACACTGACATTTTCAAGTGGGCCCGTGCTGACTGTTCTACCTATTTACGCGTCCCCGCAATATTGTACACCACGACCCCCGACAGGGCGATGGCTGTGCCGCCGAGCTGCCGTCCGGTCATGACCTCTCCCAGGAATAAAATCCCACTCCCGAACATCACCACCCTCTTCACCGAATTACCCACGGCGTGCCCCACGGGACTGAGGCTGGCGAGGAGGTTGAAGGACGCGAAATTGTAGCCGACGAAGCAGAGGGCCGCGTTGACGCCGTCCATGCTCAGCCAGCTGCTGTACTGGTGCCGTCCGTCAACGGCAGTAACAGCCGCGCCACCAGCTGATTGTGCCGCTTCTCCTACTACCCCCGTCGCCACTTGCACCACCTCTTCCGGTCCCAAAAGGAGGTCATCCATGCTCCTCATCATGAACCTGAGCACCATCACGGTGATGCCCACGGCCGCCGCCGCCGAACTGCAGGCGAGCAGGGTCTGGTGAGGCGGGATCGGGTCCCTACCCTTAATAACCACGTTCCGGAGGGCGTTGAAACAGACGGCCGCAACCGTGAAGATAGCGGACACGAGAATGGGACTGGCCGCCCCTCCCCCCCCGGACGTGGCTCCGTGTCCTTCCCCTTGGCGGCTCTTCCCGCCGTTGCTTTTGGACGTCAGCAGCAGTATCCCGCCAACGATGAGAGCGAAGGAGGCCATCTTGGTGAGGGGAACGCTCTTGCCGAGCAAGAAGTACGAGAAGGCCGCCGCGGCCACCGGCTCCATGGCCTTGAGCGCGTTCGTCGCGGCAACCCCGCCGACGAACACGGAAAAGTTAGTTAGCACGGCTTGGCCGGTATGGAGAACTGCCGCTATTCCGGACCGCCTGCTGGCTGCTACCACCTGCTCCGCAATGCCCCGCAGGCCCGCCGAGTTGACCGATGGCTGTCCAAGAGAGCACAGAACCACGACGCCCGTCACACCCTGCAGCACCAGCAGGCCGATGGGGTCGTGCGTGTCCCGCAGGTATCGCTTGCTATACGCACTGAAGGTCACCGCCAGACCTATCCACAGGAAGAAATTGAGCACGAAGAGGAGCTTCGAAGGCCTACTTGAACTCGTCGCGTGGGCCACGCTCTTCCCGCCCGTCACGCTTCGACGGGTCGGTGCCAGCAAGGACGGAGCCGTCGATCGCTCATCCGATACGCCGAGCTCGGAATCCTCCGGGGTAGCGCCGCTTGTGCTGCCGATGTGGGACGCGACCTTGTCCAGCTGGGCGTGGGAGTCATCAGAGGCCCCGATTGCGGCGGTTGCAAGAGTCTCGTCTACTTGAGTAGCTCTAGGTGATCGCCGGCGTAGGCCTGCACCGCCGCCGGTACCGTCCGTTGACTGTAGACCGGACAGCCCGACGATGGCGAAAATCAAGCATATAGCGGCGAGGTAGTCTTGGCTGATCATCGTCTTAGGGGACACGTCTGGGCCGGGTCCTGACAAAGCAACACAGAAGTTGAGGCACGGCAGAAGGAGGGGGGTGAAGAGGGAGCGGCGTTAGTTTACTTAGAAGTGGTTGGTGTTGATATTAAGTGGGACACGCAGCGGGCAAAAGGAACAAAAACCCTTCCCCCGCTCTTTTCTTCAGCATGTCAACCGGGTTTAGTATCTTTCCCAACAGGAATGTTGCCAACACCGAGCGGTGCAACCATAAAACCTAAGTCTTCACAACGGGCAGGGGGAAAAAATGATCGAAATCCGACGTTGAGACTTTTGCTACATAGGTGTAATCCGATTGGGGGGTGGGGGGTGAAGTGGCAGTATAACTGTACTACATGTGCTTGAAACAGGGTACTGGTACACCCAGCAGTAGCTCGCAATGCTGTCGACATCAACCTCCTCCGTGAAGAAAAAAGTTGTTTCGCTCAACTAGAATCACTGTAGTCATAAAGCATGACGATGGAACCACCTGGTACAACATCGAAGAGTGTGACTAACTTGAAAGCTCACTCCAAACGCTAGAGGAGCAATGGTGAGCACGCTTGGACATGGATTGGTGACACGAATTGGACGTGCAAGGAACGGTCGCAGATTACACGCGCAGTGCACCAAAGAGCACAATTGCACCAGCGCTCTTATATTTGTCTCTCAACAAAAGTTTGTGCCGAAGACGGCGGCTAAATGCTGAGGCTGCTGCTGCTGCTGCTGCTGCTGCTAGTGTAGCTACGCCTGACTATCAGTTCAACGACTGACAGCTAAGGTTTGACATGGTGTGCAACACGACTTGTACGCGAAATAGGAAGATGTGATACTGCGGTAGCTGACGTTTGGCGAGCGTGTCGAGCACTGCACATGTGGAATATTTTAGTGTGCACCTCCGTAGGCCAATTTTGTTCAACTCTTGTTTCATGGTGCTGCAATGCCGTCCCCGGCGCTTCTCGCACACGCGAAAAAAATCCCCACCGTTGTACTACACAAGCGGAGCCATTTCTCCCAAGCGAGAAAGATTTGCAAACCGAGGTGTGAAAACTCAGTCACGGCGTGAAAAATAGACTTGGGCACTAGGCCGCTTGGTCCAAACCGAGTAACCCAACGAGGCTCCTTGTTCAGATGATGCGCCGTCGCTTGTCGTTTTTCGGTGGTCTCGTTCCATCTATTATGGGCGCCAGTCTACACACGCTCCGGTGTTGTGGTGTTTGGAAGTTCCAGCCGGGACCAGACAGGAGGAATGTCCCTCAGAGGCATGTTTTTCGACGTTTCGTTCCACCTCCTTGGGTGATTGCGATAGTTTTATCTCGAGAAGGATTCAGGTGCCTCTTCCCCTTGTCGACGGTGAAGTCAAAATTGCATCTGTTGACGGTCACTAAGCAATCGTCTCGTTTCCCACCAATTACAGTACGGAGAGAGAGAGAAAGAGAGAGAGAGAGAGAGAGAGAGTACGGAGAGAGAGTACGGAGAGAGAGAGAAATGAGAAAGAGAACCACAGCCACACCCTGCTACTGGGAGGGTTACGAGGTTAACCAAAATGGACGACCGGCTCATGGAAAGATGGACAGGACATACATACAATCCTGCAACCCTACGCGTGTGTACTGCTGTAGCGGGATGGAGCGGGGCCTGAGGGGAGTTTCCGCCGGGGACGCTTAGCACGACGTTCGAGCGAGGTACGTAAAGGCGGGCTGTGGGTGTACAAATTGGAACGCATTTTCCACCGCGGGGGGGCAGAAAGGTATCGGCCGATACGCCTCAGCTGCAAATGAGGTGGCGGGTGATGAAAACAAACACGGGTTGAGGGTTGAGGGTGAGGTTTGACAATAATTCTCTCTCGCTTAGGATATAATTCTACGTGGCATTTCACCGAGGGTTCAGACTCTTCCCAGAAATCTTTTTCTGGGAGGACACTCACAAGTGGGTGGGGAGCTTGAGAAGTGGTAATCCCTAGCAATGGAACTACTATTTCCTAATAATAGAAACTGCATGGCTTGTGTTTCTTGGATTCGGAATCAATTGTGTGTGTTGCCTGGAACACATTAATGCTGAGAATGTTGGCGGGTACAGTCTAGACTACAGTCGAGGTCCCTCTATAGTGCGGGTTATTTAGTGCGGGTGCCCGGTATAATGCGGGTGAAATCGCGTGGCACAACTTAGACCCCTCTATAGTGCGGGTGCCGCACTATAAGAGGAACCCCGGTATAGTGCGGGTTTGGTCGATCTCAGAAACCTCTATAGTGCGGGTCTGACGTCATGACGGCCTAAATGCGCGGTCAAACCCGTCGACAAGTTCCGCACAACGTACACAAACCTACCCCTAGCGGGATACTGTATACTGTACCCCTACTGGCCACGAGAACAGCAGCAGCAGAGGCGCACGATGCCATGTGCAGCAGGCGAACTCTGCCATCTCAGCACCCTCACACCTAAAGCCCCCGATGGTCACCAATGCCGAGGAGGATGCGGAGGCAGACTGCACGGCATATGCGGCGAGGTGGAGGAAGAAGGCGAAAGCGAAATGAATCGCATCTGTCATACGTGCTTGTCTTCTCAACACGCCGCTACGGCTGCCACGGGCAAGCGGAAGCCGCAAGAAGCGAGCCGCATCCCAAAACGCATGAAAGCCGTGGGAGGCAAAAAGGCGGACCGAAGTGCGCCGCGCACGAGCGCATGCATCTAAGCCATCTCGTCAGATTGACGTCCGGGCGTATTTTGACGCGTAGATCAATGAGAGATATTTTGCTGCACGTATGTGTTGCATGAATTACTGTGTGTCGGGATTATTGCGCCTGTGCGAGTATGCGCCTGTTCTCTCATTGATCAACGTCTTCTCCCCTGTCTTTTCTCCGCGGGTGTCGGCTTTTGTTGTGTTCCTTTATGCACGTGGACTCACTTGTTCGCTTTGGAATGCTTGTTGGATAATCTCCTGTGGCTTTCATCATACGGTGGTTCCTTGTGATTGTTTTTCAACGTCCACGGAGCCGTCGATGCACTATAAAACAATGGGACACCGAACATTAACATTTACAACATGTCGTGGACCAAATATCCTCTCGGCTGTACAGGATTTTGTTTACACCGCTGCTTCACTGCTGAATTTGCACCACGACCCACGTGTTCTCCTAATACCATTGAGCAAACTCGGGTTTCTTTTCCTGAGGCGGCACTGATACCTTTTCAGCCCCTTGTTGGTTGTATGTACTACAGTGGCACCTTCATAACCGTCGTTATGGCCTATGTCCTACCCTTTATCCTAGTAATATCGCGAATAATGCGCATACCCGCACTATTGGGGGTCCTCATAACCCCCAGTAGGGGCCGTCTGCACTGCATTTAGAAGCTTATGGATATTACGCGCGTGACCGATATAGCGCGACTGGAAATGGCAGGAACATACTCGCATCACACACGGACCTCGACTGTATATAGCACGATCGCCGCCTCTTCCCACTCCTCTGACCCAGGAGGCACCCCGTAAACTTCCGCGCCCAAACCCAGTGGACTGATGTGGACCAGGTCCGAAATCGCCAGCCCATACTGCTGTGCTGCAGGACGTGGCGCTCGGCC